ATTTGGAGAGTCACATAAAAATCCGGATTTCCGGCTTCTCTTGAAAAACTGATAGATCTGGCATCTCCAGATCTGCCTTCAGACATGACAACAGTTGGCTGGAACTGGGTTGCGCTGTCCCCTTTAGACAGGGCATTCACTTGCCCACTGGATACATGCATATGTAGATGCACACTAGCCTGCTGAAACCATTTAGGTCACTTTCTTAGCTCTGTGGGCATCTGTTTGGAACTCCTGACCTGAGGATTTCAGAGAACTGCCAACTTAGCAGAAGCCAACATCGTGATACAGCTGCCAAAAATTTCACCCAGTCCAAGGTAATGGAAGAACACTGTCTGAACCAGTGGTCCTTAACTTTTGAAGAGTCATGGACTCTTTTAGAGAATTTAGAAAAATCAATGAGTATTTTCTCAAAAAAAAAAAAGTCTATTCATACAAAAATGAGTCATTAACTTCAGAAATTATAATAATGAGGGATGCCTGGGTGGCTCAGTGGTTGAGCGTCTACCTTCAGTTCAGGGCGTGATCTCAGGGCCCTGGGATCGAGTCCCGCATCCGGCTCCCTACAGGGAGCCTGCTTCTCCCTCTGCCATATCTCTGCCTCTCTGTGTTTCTCATGAATAAATAAATAAATTTTTTTTTTTTTTTTTTTTATGATAGTCACAGAGAGAGAGAGAGGCAGAGACACAGGCAGAGGGAGAAGCAGGCTCCATGCACCGGAAGCCCGACGTGGGATTCGATCCCGGGTCCCCAGGATCGCGCCCTGGGCCAAAGGCAGGCGCCAAACCGCTGCGCCACCCAGGGATCCCAATAAAATATTTTTTAAAAGAATTATAATAATGAATTTCAGTCCCCCTGAGCCCCTAGTTCCCATGTGAATGAACAGCCCCCATGTACAACAAGGAGGTAAACGTCCCACTCTACATCCAACACAGTAGGTCTACTCCTGGCCAGGAACCACATTTTAAGAACGATGGTGACAAACTACAAGGCAACCAGGATGATAAAGGGTCTGGAAATCAGATCATAAAGCTGAAGAAACTAAGAATGGCTAGCCTAGAAAAAGGAACACTAAGAAAGGAACATAATATCCATTTAAAATTTTAGAAACTATAATAAGGAAAAGGAATTAGGCTTACACTCATCCAGCTGGCAGAAGGAAGAGCAATGAGAAGTTACAATGAGGTCTATTTTACTATTTCAGTTCAGTCTAAGAAAGAAGTTTCTTACAATTAAAGCTGTTCAAAACTGGAAAACACTGAGACTGTCCTGCAGAACAACAAAATAGCAAGCTGCCCGTAACTGTGACTGTCCAAACAGAAGCAGGTCAATGAAACGTCACAGATGTCATAGAAAGGATTCTTGAAGGGACGCCTGGATGGCTCAGCGGTTGAGTGTCTGCCTTTGGCTCAGGGCATGGTCCTGGGATCTAGTCCCACATCAGGCTCCCGGCAAGGAGCCTACTTCTCCCTCTGCCTGTGTCCCAGCCTCTCTCTGTGTATCGCTCATGAATAAATAAATAAAATCTTAAAAAAAAAAAAAAAAAGAAAAGAAAAGATTCTTGAACTGGGTGCAACATTGTACTACAGATACTTAAAGCTTATTGCAATCAAATTTTGGTGAGCAGAGCTGGAGATGGCAATTAACAATTTCTTCCCCTCCCCAACCTTAGTCTTGCTCTGATGCAAGAGTTAACACTGTAGCCAAGCTCCACTCCCAGTAGCTCATCCTCTTGTTGGTGTTTCTCAGTGAGCTTACTGGGAATTGGTCAAGCTTTGGCCACTCTTGACATTTCACATGCCAGCTTTCTCTTTTTCCAACCCACTCCTCTATTCACCTCTTTCTACTCACAGTCAAGCCGTCTGTTTTAATTCTCAGGAAGCTACGTAAGGTTCATAGCATATCAGATCATGTATTAGTTGAATTGACTCATCCACAAAGTTTGAAACATGTGGGCATTTAATTAAAGCTTTTGCCTGATGATTTCAGCAGAAGAAAATGGGGAGAATTCTGTGCTGTATTAACTTTGTATGAGCATCACAGTCTGGTTAGAAGAGGTCACAGACTAAATCAGTTCAAGTCTGCCACGTAGGAGGTGGTCAACAATCAGAGGCTCTCCAAAACGCAGAGGAGAGTGCTAACCGGGCAGCTAGTATTTCAGAAATTTCAAAAACCTAAACAAGGTGCCTTATGGGGTCTTTAATTTCTAAATCATTGCCTCCTCAGAAATACTTTTGTAGTGAGAAACACTGTTTTTCAAAAAGTTCTGCTAAAAATACCTTTTAAGACATCACAAATGGGAAGTAAACATTCCTCCCTTATTTACAGATTATAAATTAGCACATCAGTTCTGGTTGAACACAATCAAGATGAAATTTATAAAATGAAAATTTCCTTTGGTCCATAATTATGGTCTCCTCCTGAGTGCTCCTCAGAAGATTAGGAAACAAGTTCTGAAGGCAGACTTTTACTCTATTCCAGGGAAGAGGGGAATCTGGGGCCTCTTGACCTATAAAACTCAGTATTTTGGAACATCCATAACTCTCCCAAGTCTGCCAGTCAAATAAGAGTCTCTCTTCAGCAAACCATCAGCCAGCCAGGGCTGGACAGCAAGACTTTTACCCCAGGAGTTGACAAGGAGGGGACCCAAAAGCTCCCTGGGAAAAAAAAAGTCTCTACTTCAGCTTGCATTACAAACTGCTGGAAAAGACAGATGGAGGGGATGACAGGAAAAGCAATTATTTCTACTGGGCTTCCTTTCTGTCTGGATTCTAAGGAGACGAACACAAAATTCCACCACAGATTGAAATGCTATCTAAACATTCTTAAATATGTGGTCTTGCTCTCTGAAATATGACCTGCCCTGCTGCAGCAACCTGTAACCTATTAATATGTGAAGGTGGGGAAGCCCGACATTCCCACAGGCTGTCTAATTTGGGGCCTGACTCTCCAATACCGCTAGTTTGTGACCACAGGTTAAAACATAAACAACGAACTAAAAGATACATATCATGACCCAACAAAAAGTCCTGACAAATCATTCACATCATTTTCACATTCTTGGAATTTTAAAAACCTGAGACTCTTCTATGTATTTTCATGAGCCAAGGTAAGTGTAAGCTGAATCACACAAAATAGTTGTGCTATTATTTCAAATGGCAGTCATTTGGAACTAGTCACACACAAATCAAGCTCTCAACAGCTATATGGGGACATATGCTGATCAAAATGATGTTTTATGGTAAAAGGTTTTTATTTACAATAAATAAAGTTTGACACAGATCAAATATTCAATACAGCTGAATAAAATGTTACTGTGCATGAACTATGTGTTGAGATGAAAACAAAGACGAGGAAGATTCAGTTCTTGCCTCAAGGAACTTATAAGCCAGTCAAGGGGACAAGATGTGTGCACTAGTAAGTCAAAGGAGACCACAAAACCCAAAAGGAAAGTATAAGCATGGGCCTGGGATTTTGTGGGCAGAAAGGACATACATCTAACTGAGAGATATCAGGATGAATCTGCTCATCTGTAAAACAAGAATTGTGGACCAGGTGAGTTCCAATTCCCTTCTAGGTCTAAAATTCTGATTCTTTTTGTATATCCAGGTGAGCTAAACAAAAAATTTCATAGAGGAAGTAGTATTTGAGCTAGGCCTTAGGTAAGATTTTGAGGTGAAGTTACTGGAAGAAAAAAAGGAGAGAGAGCATTTTGGGCAAAAAGAAGTACATGGGTTCAGAAAGCACAGGGCATGCTTCTAGAGTACTAAGTCTGCTGTTTGGATTGATCTTAGCGGGAAGCAAAATTGCAAAGGCAGACTGAGGCCTTGAATGCCAAGCAAAGGAATTTGTATTTAATTCAGTAGACAGAGGCCACTGAGGTTTCTAAAGAGGTAGATGACAGGGCCAGACACAAAGAAGGTAAGCTAAAGGGCAGAAGGGGGCTGGAGTGTTTGCAGGCTACCTTGTTCCTCTTTATTACCTGCAAGGGCCCCATGTACACAGGCCTCACCTGTGAAGTGATGCTTCACGGGAGAAACCTGAATGACAAAAACAAAGCAATAAGAATTAAGAACCAGGCAGGGATCAGGAAATTGGGTCAGCTCTAGAAAACTAATATACAGAAAACTAACTATACAGAAATACTGGCAATAACAAGGAAGAAGGTAGACACAAACAGGACAATGGAAGACAATTATTAGGATGAAAAGGATGTCATACGATGTAGGCAAAAACAGAGACATAGATAAAACTAAAAATGTAAGAAAAAAGAGACTCATAATACCTGTAAGCTACTAGCAGAGGAGGCAGGAGAATGAGAGATTAGGACATTTGTACATAGGCTGACACCTCCCATCCCCTGCAAATTTGGACAGCACAATGTATATTTTAAGAAATGAGCTGCACTACAAAATGTCAAAGAGGACAATTAACAGAACTGAGGCTACTACTGCCTGAGTCAGTACTGAAAAGGCAGAACAGATACCACACGAGAGGAAGGCTACGAAAGGCACCTCTGTTGTAACAGCAATTTCTGAAATACGGCGCCTAAACAGAATAGAATCCAAATAAAAAGGAAAATGGTTAGCAGAGAATATCTGGCCCTCAGTCATGCAAGAATCCCTCCACCCCAGACACTCTTTTCTCCCTTTGTTCCCTTAGGAGGATCTAACCTCCTAAGTTAGATCCAAAAAGAACTACAAAAATTTGAAATGAATGTATGTCTGCCGCTGAGGAGAAAGACCAGGAAACATTGGCTTTCTCACTTGGGCCTGGGTGCGCTGTGCTACCATACACTCCTGGTTCCACGGACGCTGAGTGAGAGCTCACTGCTGGTCTGGGCAGCCTACCTCTGTTATTAGTAGGACAGGTCATGAACATTTCCTGCTGCGTGTGGGGCACATCAGCAAGAAAGTGCTCTCCACAAGCAGGAAGATCAACACTTTGGATCATGAAGAAATCAGGAGAGGGTGATTAACATGAATGAATAAGTCACTTACTTGCCTGCCATCCTGCCCCACGTTTGTTTGACCTCTTACAACAGTTCGAATATTGTCATCCAGTCTCCTAGTGAAAAAGGTAAATGATAAAAATCATTAAAACAATCTCCATTCTAGGATGACCCAAAGAAAAAAAAATACCCATCAACTTCTGCAAGTTGCACCCACTTGTCCAGAAAACCAAACAAGTTTGAATGACAGAAGGAAGATGGAGACCTCAGACCCTAGCTGAGGCAGCAACAGTAGTGTAAGAAGCCAAGCCCAGCAGAGACTGATGAGTGGTCTTTGTTTTTTAAAAAGGCTATTATTACTTAATATTCAGAGCTGTCCAAATGGGCCAAGGTAAAGTTTAGTATTTCTCAATGGAGAAAACCAGGAATGATGTTGCTGGAACTTTATGGGAACAAGTCAGCGAATTCAAATTATCCCCTATGAAACCCTCAATAATGTCCTCAGAAATCTTAAAGAGCTAAGGAGCCAGAGTGCTATATGAAATCAGTGCTTCACCCCCTGGGCCCTGATTGGGCAAGCTGTGTGGGGCATGGGTCTGTGATCTCTGGCTCCAACAGGGACCATTCAGTGGCACCTCTGCCAGAGAAATTTAGATCAATTTCATTTTTCATTTAAAGAATCTTTTAAATGTATGTTGAGAGAAAGCTGAAAATAACCTGTTTGTGATGATTTGGAGATCATTAGGGAATTCCCATTTTCTGGGCAAATCCTGGACAACTTAGTAGTTTCCACTGGAACTGCTATAGCTGAAGTCCACTAAAACAACAAGAGGCCCTAACTAAACAATAAATTCATGGCAAAGGTCTTCACTGAAAGACCCAAAGCTGGTAAGGGAAAAAGAAATAATCTCCTGATTCAAAATGAAGGCTTCTCCCCATCAAAAGCCAACCAAAATGGGGACGCCTGGGTGGCTCAGTGGTTGAGCATCTGCCTTCGCCTCAGGGCATGACCCAGGATCCCAGATGGAGTCCCATATCGTGCTCCCTGCAGGGAGCCTGCTTCTCTTTCTGCTTATGTCTCTGCATCTTTTGGTGTCTTAAATGAATAAATAAATCAATACTTTAAAAAAAAAGAATCAACCAAAATGAAAAAAACATAAAACAACCAACAACTATATTTGAAGTAATGACACCAACCATTATAATATTAATTACAGTGAACAGACATTGACCACCTGGACAGCCATATGCTAAAACTGGAAATCCAGCCAGACTACTGGGCAGGAAGGACACTTGATGTTTAATTCTGACAAGTGCACCCTAATCACAATATTTAATCTTGGGTCACCACAAAGGCCAACCAGCAGATCTGACCATACTGTTAGCTGTTGTGTTGGCCAAGGGATACATGTATATGCCCATCCTTGTATCTAAGCCTTAGGAGTACAAAAAATGGTAAATCTGCTAAGGAATTAAAACCATTAAAAATACAATAGAAATGCTTTTGCCCCCTTTTATAATCAACCATTTTGAATAGCCTGCTAAAGCTTCCTTTCCTTTTCATAAATGATTGAAGACTGACCAAAGAATTGAATTCTTTGCCATGAGGTTCATAATGAAATCCACATAAAAGGATTATTTTTAAAAAAAACTGTCATAAACAGCAAACTTGATATTTTGGTGTTCTAACAGATAAATGTGATCCAGAACATGATAAACTAAATCAACAGTATATTTTTCATTAATTATTAATAATCTTATGGTGTTACTTACCTTATTTTCAGTCTAATTTTGTTCACGACTTCATCTATGTTTGCCAGAGACTACAGTAAAGAAGAAAAGTGACAGCTATTATTTCACTTTCTAGAATTCCTCTTTTATATGGAAATGAGCTATCAAGGCTATTTGATATCTCAAAAAATGTAATCATAGTGTGATACAATTTTATTTAAAAAAGTATAAGGATGCCTGGGTGGTTCAGTTCATTAAGCATCCAACTCTTGATTTCAGCTCAGGTCATGATTTAATAAGGGTCATGATTTAATAAGGGTCATGAGATCCAGCCCTACATCTGTACTCTGCATGTGTGGCTCAATTGTTTTACTGGAACACAGTCACGCCCACTCATTTACATATTATCCACAGCTCCCTTTGAGGTACAAACACAAAGTTGAAAAGTTGCAATGAGACAGAATGGTTCACAATGCCTAAGGTATTTACTATCCAGCCCTTTATAGAAAGTTCTCTGACCTCTGGTATATAGGATTGTGACAAATTCACACAACAAAATACATCAACAAAAATGAATGATTACAACACACAAAAATAGGAATAAATCTTACTAACATAATATTACACCAAAGAAACCAAGACACAAGAGTGTATATTGTATGACTCCATTTATATAGTTCAAAAATGAATGAGACTATTCTCTCATGTTAGAAGCCAGCAGGACAGTGGTTATCTCTGACGAAGATAGTTACTGTGAGGAGGCAAGAAGGGTACATCTAAAGAGAGGGACACCTGGGTGGCTCAGTCAGTTAAGGGTCTGTCTGCCTTCAGCTCAGTCATCATCATAGGGTCCCGGGACTGAGCTCCACATTGGGCTCCCTGCTCAGGGGAGTCTGCTTCTCCCTCTGCCTGCTCCCAGTTGTGCTCATGCTTTCTCTCTCTGTCTCTCAAATAAATAAATGTTTAAAATCTTAAAAAAAAAAAAAAAAGGACAATGACAAAAACATGGACTATATTCAACCTGAGTCGGCAGAAAATGCTAGGAAATGGTGCCCCCTAGTGGAATAGAGATTGTATAATTTTATAGCACCATTTTAACTCAAGTAGTCAAAATATAATTTTTTAACTCCTCTTTCTCTTTCCCTCCACAGATATTTTACCTGAGAAGGAAGCAGGGGAGATGCAAGAGGAATTGTGCTTATAAACTGCTATCAGCAACTTATAGTGGCAGGAGGAGAAGGAGGCCAGAAGCCTGCCAAGAACCAGGTCACAAGTGTTTGAGATGTCAGACCAGACCATCTCCATTCCGTCTACTGTTCTGCCAAAGCCAATGATTATTCAGAATTTTCAGAAATCCAGACTGAGATGAAGATGAATCTCAGAAAAAAAGAAGTTATTTTAATTGAGGAATCCGCTGTCAAGTCACTCTGAAATCAGCCTGGGTTTAAATGTTAACAGGAGCTGAGTCTGTCAGAGGACCTAGATTTGGCACAGCTCTGCCACTACAAACCTGCTATATGTACAGGGGGCAAGCTGTTTAGCTTTTCTGAAGTTATATTTCCTCATGTGTAAATAGGACATAACAGTTCCTACCCTATCTCTGCTGGAACCCATTCCTTTAAAAATATATATACATTTTTTGGTATTTTAAATCAACTATTTAAAAAATATTAACATTTGGAGAATCTGGGTGAAAGGTAGTGAATTTGTTGTACTATTCTTATGTTTTCCTAAAATGCATTATTATACCAAAATTTTAAAATAGTAATCTATTTGAAATTGGTAAAACAGGGTCATGACCAAAAATTCAAATAGTACAAAAGGATAAACAGAGAAAAGCAAGGCTGCTTCTCCCTGTCCTGCCCGTCTCCCCTAATCCTTCTCCACAGAGGCAATGGCTCTGAGCTGGTTTCTTTTGTACCTTCCCAGAAAGTCTATGTATTTAAAGCATATCCATAACTTATGTCCCCTTCTTTATATGATGCACATTGTCTTGCATCATATTTTTTTTCCTTAACAAAATAACTTGGAGGTCATTCCACAACAGTAAATATAGATTTGGATGATACAGTAACCAATTCTTAAATTTAATACTCCTTAAACATTAAGGTCTTGCTTAAATCATAACAATTTTTCTTTTTTTATAACAATTTTTTAAGAAGAATAATTCAAAATATTTATGCCTTCTGATGTTCAACTGCATTTAAGGGAGCAATAACCTGGAAATGACCTAAATGGCCAAAGTAGAACAGTTAAAATAAATCAGGCCACATTTACTCAAGGGACTTTTATGCCACTAAAGACGCTGGGCAGGGAGGGTCAGAAAAAACAAAGGTCGCTTATGCCAGCATGCTAATAAAAGGAAAACACTGAAAAATATCGAGTAAAAATATCAGGCCCATGAATGCAGCTATTAAAAGACCAGAAATGTCCTAAATTATCATGCTTGACCACATGCTAGCTGAACCAATGGGTGACCACTTTACCTTTATCTTCTAGATTTTCTGTTGGGGAAGCAAAAGGGAAAGGGTACTAACATTTAATGTAGATCTGTTATGCAACACTCTTCTAGAGGGTTCTATAGACATTATTTCCCTTAAGTAGGCATGCCATTTTCCTCTTCAGTGGGAAAAATGGAAATTTAGGCTTTGAAAGGACAGATGTTTTGTCCAAGGTCCTATATGTAACATTTAGCACAGATGGATCTGGTTGCAGTCAATCTGCCTTCTGGGTCTCTGCTCTTCCTTACTCCAAAATGCTACCTCTAAAGTTAGGTCCTTGACCTAACTTTTCTACATCCCACGTATCTGAGGGATGCTATCAGTTGAGTGCCTGCTATGTCAGTAATCCTCACTGGGATTGAGGGACTCTCCCCACAGGAATCCAGATTGGTGACCCTCATTGGAGGTCATCTTCTCTTTTGAGAATCACCTATCTAGTTTAGTTATAATGTGATTGTACAGTTTTACCATTTAAAAATATTTTAATTAGGGACACCTGGGTGGCTCAGTGGTTGAATATCTGCCTTCAGCTCGGGTAGTGGTCCCGGGGTCCTGGGATGGGGTCCTGGGATCGAGGCCCACATCAGGCTCCCCGGGCTCCCTGCAGGGAGTCTGCTTCTCCTTCTGCCTATGTCTCTGCCTCTCTTTGTGTCTCTCATGAATAAATAAAATCTTAAAATAAATAAATAAAAATATTTTAACTATTTGGTGCACCTGGGTGGCTCAGTCAGTTAAGCATCTGCCTTTGGTTCAGGTCCTGGGATGGAATCTCACACTGGGTTCCCTGCTTCTCCCTCTCCTTTTTCCCCTCCCCCTACTTGTCCAGGCGTACTCTCTCTCTCTCTCTCAAATAAATAAAACCTTTAAATATAAAAATATTTTAATTATTGAAAATTTTGTCCTGATTCTTTTTTTATTTATTTGACACAGAGAGTGAGTACAAACAGGGGGAGCAGTAGGCAGCAGCATTCTGGTATATTGCTTTCTATGGTTCCTTCTAAGCAAATATCTGGCTTAAAAAAAAAATTAAACTGGAATGATAAACAATGTGGCATCTTATTACTGTTTTCACTTAACAACATAGACTCAGAGCATTTTGGGGGGGGTCATTAAAAATTCTTTAGAAACAGCTTCATGTGACTCTTCTTTCAAAGTTCTTAGTTATATTACTTTTATGTTCATTTTTATTTATTTTTTTAAAAGATTTTATTTATTTATTCATGAGAGACCCAGAGAGAGAGGCAGAGACATAGGCAGAGGGAGAAGCAGGCTCCCCATAGGGAGTCTGATACGGGATTTTATCCCAGGACCCCAGGATCATTACCTGAGCCAAAGGCAGACACTCAACCACTGAACCACCAGGTGCCCCTTATATTCATTTTTAATAGATTTTATCTAGATTTCCCTAATCAAACCTCTAATGAAAACATGACAAATGATTATCTTCAGTTTTCTACTAGGAAACTAGAAAAGTTTTCCAGATCATTGTTACCAAACCTGGCTACTCTTCAAAACTAACCAGAGAACGCTATTACATACAGAAAACTGAGCTCTTCCCACTTGTACCTAGAGTTACAAACATCCACAGATCTCCTGCCTCCAGGCAGATACCTCCAGGTAACCACAGACTTGCAAGTAACTGCTATTCAGTAGAAACTGTATACAGGGCAGCCTGGGTGGCTCAGCAGTTTAGCACCCCCTTCAGCCCAAGTCGTGATCCTGGAGACCAAGGATCGAGTCCCACGTCGGGCTCCCTGCATGGAGCCTGCTTCTCCCTCTGCCTGTGTCTCTGCCTCTCTCTCTCTCTCAATCTGTGTCTCTCATGAATGAGTAAATAAAATCTTAAAAAAGAAACAAACCTGAATACACATCCTTCTCCTTAGAGTGACACTAAATTTATTCTTGATATATTGACATCTACTTTAAATATTCTAAATATTTGGGGTGCCCAGGTGACTCAGCGGTTGGGCAGCTACCTTCAGCTTAGGTTGTGATCCCATGATCCAGGATCGAGTTCCGCATTACGCTCCTGCAAAGAGCCTACTTCTCCCTCTGCCTATGTCTCTGTCTACCCCCAACCCCCCCGCCCATGTCTCTCACAAATAAATAAATAAATATTTTTTAAAAATTTCTAAATATTTACTGCAAGCCCTTGAGGTATATAGGTGGGTTTTACCCCAAATCTAGCAAGAGGTGAAAGAAATTATAAATCATGGCACTATTTTTTATTACCTTTTCATTAAGGTCCATGAGAATTTGGGTTGGAAAATGAACTGCTAGGTATAAACCTGGGATTGGGGAAATAAAGGTAAACCTTGCGTTATAGATTTTCTTAGTTTGCTAAGAAACTTCACTACAAGGTGCCTGGGTGGCTCAGCTGGTTAAATGTCTGCCTTCGGCTCAGGTCAGGATCCTGGGGTCCTAGGATCAAGCCCCGTATCAGGATCCCTGCTTAGTGGTGAGTCTGCTCCTCCTTCTCCCTCTGATGCTCCCCGCTTGTCCTGTCTCATGCGCTGTCAAATAAATAAATAAAATCTTTTTTTTTAAATAAAATCTTAAAGAAAGAAAAACTTCACTACATATTAGCATGAATATGGAGGCATAATTAGATAAGACATATAACTGAATGTGTTATTTTTTAATTTTTTAAAATTTTTATTTATTTATGATAGTCACAGAGAGAGAAAGAGAGAGAGGCAGAGACATAGGCAGAGGGAGAAGCAGGCTCCATGCACCGGAAGCCCGATGTGGGATTCGATCCTGGGTCTCCAGGATCGCGCCCTGGGCCAAAGGCAGGCGCCAAACCGCTGCGCCACCCAGGGATCCCTGAATGTGTGTTATAACAAATGTCTAGCATTACCTTCAGTAATTTAAAATCAAATACATACAAAAGCATACCAGAAAAAAGTAAGAACCTGGTGGTTTCCTGTATAATTTCCAAACCTAACAGTTATTTTTGCTTTGATGAGTCAGCATTCTTGATAGGGTGGGGCAGACGACATTTTCACAGCTAAAACTGTTGTCTTTATACCAGTTGTTCCCAAATTTCTGCCTCCAGCTAATTCCTAGAATTCCTCTTTCTCTCAGAAAACAATGAGCTCTAAAGACTATCTGTGAAACCTCAAAGACAATCACACAGAATCATACTATTTTTTCCAACTTCATTTAAAAAAATTAACATGTCTATTAGAAAATGTTTGAAGAATATATGCCGAAATATTAACAATTACCGGGATTATGAGCTCCAGACTCAAATATCCAACTACATATTTCTACCCGGAGGGCTCAAAAATGTTCAAGACCTAGCTCACTCTTACACCCTACTCCTACCATATTTACCACTGAAGCCTACTCTTTGTCCTTATGCCCAACCGAGGGTAAAGGTGTCAATATCCACCCAGTTGGCCAGGCTAGAAATCAAAGTTCAAAATCCTTCATTTGGTGTCTATCGTGCAGCTGAAATGCCATTTCCTCTATGAAATCTTTCTGGAGGGCAGTCCCGGTGGCGCAGCGGTTTAGTGCCGCCTGCAGCCCAGGGTGTGATCCTGGAGACCCGGGATCGAGACCCGGGATAGAGTCCCACGTCAGGCTCCCTGCATGGAGCCTGCTTCTCCCTCTGCCTGTGTCTCTGCCTCTCTCTCGCTCTCTCTGAATAAATAAATAAATCTTAAAAAAAAAGAAGAAATCTTTCTGGATCTGAAAAAGATTTATTTATTTTAGAGAGAGCATCGGCAGGGGCAGAGGGAGAGAATCTCAGAGAATCTCAAGCAGACTCCCTGCTGAGCACAGTGCCCATTCTGGGGCTGGATCTCTGGACCCTGAGATCATGATCTCAGCTGAAACCAAGAGTCAGACACTTAACAGACTGAGCCACCCAGGTGTTCCCAGGTGGAATTTTTTAAATGTGAATCTGATCCAGTCATTACCCTGACAAGAGTCCTTAAAAGAACACCCACTGCCTATAATCACAGTCCCTAGCCAGGGTGTGTACATTTCCAAGGGCTTTGTAATGATACCCATTAGAGTGTGAAGACAAAACATTAAAAACTCTATTTTTACTTATTTCCATGACAAACCCTACTAAAACCTATTTATTTAAGACTGGTATTAGGAATATGTACATAATATTTTGAGAGTATATAAGCTTAAAATTAGCTTGGTGAAAATTAGTTGTGTGCAAAATATTTCAGTGAGAAGCATATGGTATCCAAAAAAACTGGAGACTGCGGGCCTAGAGAACAGAATCCCTTCAGGATCCTTGTGCTGCCAACCCCTCCAGCCCCATCTCCTATGAGGCTATGTTCCCTGTGCACACTGTGTTTCTCATCTCTGAGCCTCTGCCCTGTGCTTTGAATGACCTTTCCCTGTCATTCTAGATTTCAGTGGTTCACTCTGCCTTAAACAGTGCTCTCCCAGCCTGCCACAGCCAAGCTCTTTCACAGGTATCAAGTCTCAGTTTATAGGTAAGTACCTCACAAATACCTTCCCCACCCACTGGTCTAAAGGAGCCCCTCCCCGTGCTGTCATGTTCTTTCTCTGTGCCTGCTTTTTATCACAGCATCAACTATGCTTGATGATTTCTTATATATGTATTTGTTGATCTGTTTACTCTCTTCTTCCTTATATTAGATTCCACGAGACCAGAAACTTGCCTATCACATTTACCATTTCTCCCCAGTTTCTAAACAATGCCTGGCACTTAGTAGACACTTAAATACATTTGACTAAGTGAAGTGAACAAATGACTCCTTTAAGATTTGGCAGAACGGCTGCCTCCTCTCTGAGATTTTGATTTTCTTAGGAAAAACTGTTCCTTTGTTCCTTACTAAACCCATTACATACCTCTCCTATAGCATTCAACACTGTCTCCCCCACCCAACCTTGATCATGTATACTTTAAGAGGGCACAGACTGGGCATTATTCATCTTTGTGTCCACAGCACCTAGCACAGTGACCAATATAGCTGACAGGTGCCCAATGAACGTTTGCTGAATTCATAAAATGAAAAACCAAGCAGAACTCTAGCAGACTTTTCAACTTGCTTTCTCTCTCTCTTTTTATTAAAGTAGGGTCCACAAGCCCAAAGTAGGGCTTGAACTCAGGACTCTGAGTTGGAGGCTTAATCAACTGAGCCATTCAGGTGCCCCCACCTCTGCTGTTTCTAACTCTGATCTACTTCTCACCTAAACACCCAAAATCCAATTTTGTAAGAAAAACCCATCTATATAGGTAAGTCACCCAATGCAAAAAAAATAAAGTCTGAAAACGGTGAAATAGGACAAAGTAGCCTTATGATTCCAGGGTTATCCTGTCCACTTCACTCTCACTCTTCTCTAATAATTTTAAAAAACCTTTCTACTTCCCACTATACTATGGAAAAATGTGGGAGGACTCTTACAAAGTAAAGGTATAATTTCAAATAATATGCTCACAATACAAAGTATTCTCTTACACAACAGCATTTGGCATAAGCTATCCCTCACCCCCAATCAGTTACAATGGGGTTTGATTTAACTCTCACTTGTTTATCAAGTCTCCTTAGATGATATAGTATAACACACCAATCATAATATTTATAGGATAAGCCAGAAAGCACTGAAGTGAAGGAAACTATACTTACTTGTTCTGTTGGGAATAAGGTATTGATATACTCCACTGCATTGAAATCTGCGCGATCTAGAGGATCCTGGCTTGGAAATACCTATATAAAGACAGGTGGTTAAAAATAACTGTCATCCTTCTGTCTTGTTTTATGTATTATTTCTTTCCTTCCTACTGGATGGTAAATTACTTTGAAGGCAAAAAACCTATCTTTTTTCATTCTGTAAGCCTAATACACAACAATTGCTCAGTAAGATATTTGTGAAAGTCAATCTTTAATTTTCACCAACATCTGTAATTTTAACGTCTTGGTGCAACTAACAGAACGTGCAACAGTGGAAGTTCCACAATATCAACAAAATCCCACAGAAAGGAGAAATAAAGGGGCATTGCCCACTCTCAGATTAAACCAGCTGATGACATGACTGTAATAAGGAAGCCTTGATAAAAGACTTATGCACTATGTCTCAGGGATGGCTCAGCATTAGAATTCACTATGCATTGAAACAATTTTTTCACTTCAGACAGTGTCAGGAAATGGAGCTTGCCTTCGGGAACTGTCCATCTATTTAACAGAAGAAAGAATACTGTCTTCTGAAAAATAATTCCCTTCAAAAGCTATAACCTGAAGAACATATAACAAGGTAGATTATAGGGGATCCCTGGGTGGCTCAGCGGTTTGGCGCCTGCCTTTGGCCCAGGGCGCGATCCTGGGACTCCAGGATCGAGTCTCACATCCGGCTCCCGGCATGGAGCCTGCTTCTCCCTCTGCCTGTGTCTCTGCCTCTCTCTCTCTCTATGTCTATCGTGAATAAATAAATAAAATCTTTAAAAAAATAAAAAAAACAAGGTAGATCATAAAAGAAGCTGAGTGATCCCCTGAGTACTGAATTTCACCAGCTCAAGATAGTCATTCTGAAAGCCAATTCTTTTCTGATGTCTGTTTATTAGATAAGGTTAACCTAAAACTCATTCTTATTAAGAAATAGCAAAAATGTGCTCTCCCAAAATCCTTGTCAAATGGTAACTGACTGCATTGTTTGTTTCTTCTATGAGAGCCCACTAGGCCGAAAGAAAAAATGAAATGCATGTCTTTTTCTGTCAGGAAGAGGTGGGTGGGAGGCTGTGGCCTGAACAACTAAACCTTAGCCCAATGGTCTAGCATCCTCAGGATGTGCCAAACGTACTTTATATGGGTAATCCAACCACTGGTAGAACACCACAGAGCCAAAAATCTATAAGTGGCACAATACAAATAAATTAGTACAGAGACAGACCTAGAGTAAGTGTTAACGCTCAATAAATATTAACATTAGCAATGGTAGTAACAGTACTTTACTTCAAAAAAGCTTCCCAGTGGTCACTAAATGTGGCATAATCCTCCTTTTCTTAAATCTTATCCCCTACACCAGTTCCATTAAGGGAAATCCTCTCCCTTTATCAGAAGCAATATCCTGAACAAGAGTCTAAATGACTATTTCTAATATCATTACTCTTAAAAACTCAATAAACTGGAAAAGAGAATTTAGTCAACCAAAGAGTCCCTGAAGGGAAGGAAAGGAAGGTCTCCGGGGAATATTGTTCAATCTAACCCAAACTGATCAACATTAGGAATTCTCAACCACTGAAGTATGATAAAGGGGTCTTTTTCAACCGTGTCCCCTCCCTCTGCTCAGGGACCCGCTTCAGGTATTAAAGTGGCTCCTCCTCTCAATCCCGAGTCCCTCACAAAGGGCTAGATTAAGAATTGGGAGCAGCGGCACACCAGCCTGGTAAATAACCCCCCAGATCTGAGGTCGGTATCCGTGACTTCCCTTCTTCCAGGTTCATATGCTTTCAAGGGGCTCGGTTCCTCTGCCCAAACCCCACCAGGACGCCTCACCCTTCAAAGACAATCAAGGGCGCTTTCTCCCTGCCCTGGATGCTGAACCCCCTTCCCACCACCACCTCCCTCCAAACCTTCCCTTCCCGCTCCTAGTTCTCACCTCTAGGTCCAAAGACCGCTCCCTCCCCATCCATCCCACCCCGGATCCCACCCCCAGGCTTCCCCAGCCTCCGCTCTCCTCCTGTCAGGGGGCGGAACGCTCACCTGCTCTATGGCGAGCTGCACGTCAGGCGTGAGCTGCAGCACGGCTTCCAGCTCCTCCACGAACTCCAGTTCCTCCTCCTCCATCATCCCGCCGCCCAGCTCCCTCCTGACGCCCACTTTGACCCCGAGTCTCTCCTCCAGCCGTCACCCAAACTCCTGAACCACAACCCTCTTCTTGCAGCGTTCAGGTAAACCTCCTCTCTGTCAGCCAGCCGGGCACTTCCGGAAAGCCGGGCACTTCCGGGATCCGGGGCACTCTGGGATAGCGGAGGACTGACCTCTGGTTGCCCGGAGAAGGCATTCCCGTCACGTCCCGGGAGCTTCCCGGGGCAGCCCTGTGGGCCTGCACCCCCCGCCCGCCCTCAGCTCTCCCTAACGTGATGGGGGCCCACTTCAACTCGCCAAGGGCACGCCCCCCCACCGAAGGCCCCGGTGTTGGGGAGGGCCTGGCCGCCCTGGCAGGACCCCCAGTGAGGGTAAGCCCCGTCAGCGTCGCGACCGACCGACAGCAACCCTCCCAGGCCGCGAAGCCGGCGACCCTACCGCTCCCAGGGCCCCCTTGGTCAGGGGCAGTAGGTATCCCCCTGCCACCGGGGGAGGAATGACCCCAGCTGGTAAGTGGCGATGCTGCCAAGGACATTTTGTCGGAGGGACAGCGTCCACCTGACATTTAAGTTCCTCACGTGCCAAGCCTCTAGGCAGAGTTTTCGGGGCGGGGGGGGGCGGAGGGGGTGTGTGCCTGCAGCTTCTCCTTGGGGCGGGGGAGGAAGGTGGCTCCTTAGGTATTGCTCCATCGCCGGGGAAATGTTGACTTTCTGAGACTCAGTATCTGGAGTCTTAAGTCCCATTCCACGACCGATAAGCTGTGAGTTCTTGAGCAAATCCCTGCATCTGCCCTGCCTACCCTGCAAGGATGTGGTGAGCATTCAATATAAAAAGCGCTATGCAAATTTAAGCTAGTAATACAGGTAATATTAGACTGTCTAGGTCTTAATGCACCGCCAAGGAAAGAGGCCAGATCGCCCTGTGCAACCACTTTTCCCGCGGACACTTAAAACAGTGAAGCGACTGCAGCCCAAAGAAGCGTTGTTTTACCAGTTAAACATTGTAAAATTCCAAAATGGAAGAGTCCCTGGTCCCACTGAGCTTTTTTTTTTTTTTTATTTTATCAAAGTTGTTTGTTGTAAAAACATAGAAGCACTTTCTAACAATAAGGAAAGCCTTAAAAATACAAATTGGCAGGACGCCTGCGTGGTTCAGCGGTTGAGCGTCTGCCTTTGACTCAGGATTGTGATCCCAGTCTGGGATCGAGTCCTGCATCCAGTCCGGCCTTGGGCTCCCTGCGAGGAGCCTGCTTCTCTCTCTGCCTTTCTCTCTGTGTCTCATGAATAAATAAATAAAATCGTTTTTTTAAAAAAATTGGCAGAATAGTGTAACAAAATCATGGTTTTGAAAGTTACTTAATGACATGGAAAAATGTGCTTAATATATACCAGAAAGTAAAATGTACATTTGGGAAAGCAAAAATGTACAGTGTAGTCCCAGTTTATGTGTGTTTTGCACATATAAAAATGATAGGAAAGAAATAGTACTGTTCTGTGGGTGATGAAAATCACACTCTTTGTATATTTTCCCAAAATGTCTATAGATAGTCTGTAGTACTTTTATAATACTTTTTTTTTTAAAGGAAAAGGTAATTTTATCTACCTGTTTTGGATCTTTATCTTTTATATTAGGGCATAATTTACAGATAGTAAAATTCACCTTTCAGTTTATAATACCATGAGTTTTGATAAATGCACATAGTCACGTCACTACCATCCCAAACAAGTCCTAGGACAGTTCTATCATTCCTCCAAATTCCCTCGTGCTCCACCCATTGCCTGGCTACCACTGACCTGATTTTTCTCCCTACAGTTTGACTTTTTCAGAACATGATATAAATGGAATCCTATAATATGTCACCTTTCAAGTCTGGCTTCTTTCACTTAGCGTGAAGCTGTTGTATTTCATCCATGTAGTTGCATGTATCAGTAGTTAATTCCTTCTCCTTGAGTGGTATTCTACTATGTAGCTATATCACAATTTGTTCAAAGGACACTTGAGTTGTTTCCAGGTTTTGGCAATGATGAATAAAGCTGATATAAACATTCATGGGCATGCTTTGTGTGAACAAAAGTTTCCATTTTACTTGGGTGAATAGCTAGAGGTGGGATTGCTGGATTGAATGGAAAATCTGTGTTAAACTCTATAAGAAACTGGTAAACTGCTTTTCCAAAGTTGCTATACCATTTTCGCATTCCTACCAGTGATGTATTAGATAGAGTTCTGTTTGTTCATAGAGCTTATTTTTATGACAATAAGAACTAACATTTCCTAGCCCCTAATATAATGCCAGGAACCATGGTAGGCAGGCATTGTCTCTTTTAATCCACATGCAACTCTGAGGTTAGAAATTAGTATCGTCCCATTTAGCAGATGAGAAAGTGGAGATATGGCTAAAATAAAAAAACTTTTCCAAAGTCCCATAGCTAACTCTTCTGAACATTCATTCACTCATTCAGTAAACTCAATAAATGTGTTAAGTGAGTGAAAGAATGTTCCTGTTACTGATAGGTGTTTCTACTAGGCTAGGTCCTGGGAATTAAGCAGTCAACAAAATTGACCAAGTGCCGGGCTCCATAGCTATTTCCGTGCCTGAAAAGGCTATTAATACAAATAAACATAACTGTGATGGGTCTAATGAAAGACAAATCAAGTATATGTTGAAAGAGTATTTTGATAGTGTCCTGATTGGATTTGGGGGTCAAGAACGGCATCTCTGAGGAGATTTTTAAGCTAAAGCAAAGGGTGGGGGATGGGAAGAACCAGAGGTGACAGATGAAAGGAATGTATGTGCAAAAAAGCCTTTAGGATGGAAGAAATTGGCCAAAGAGGTGGGACTTTGAAAGCCATGGGGAGAGTGGTGCAAGTGGAGGCTAGAGAAATAGGTAGTGCCAGATGACTGAGGCTCCTGAAGGTCATACTAAGGAATGGGAAGCCATTGAAGGACTGTAAGCAGAGAAATGACATGGTCCAGTTTAGCATGCCTGTCATCAGCCTGAGGCCCCTCATTTTTGCTTTCTCTGTTTCTGAGCAGCTTGAGTTATTGTGGTGAATCATGAAGCAAGGGTGACCATCTCCAGTCCAAATTCATGCTGTCCAATTTCCACTGATTATCCTTTAATGCATCTGTTGTAAACACTCAATTGCATTGCCCCTGCTTCCCTACTCCGAACTCCCAACTCAATTATTTCCCTTTCCTTCTTTGCAGATAAGATACTAGTAATGAATACAAGGTTGAGTTTAAGAGAATTGCACAGTACAAAAAGTGTAGGAAGATAAAAGAGCAGAGATACCGGTGAACACTAGATTTTTTAAAAAGATATTAAGGGAAGGAACCCCGCGTGGCTCAGCGGTTTAGCCCTGCCTTCGGCCCAGGGCGTGATCCCGGAGTCCCGGGATCGGGTCCCACATCAGGCTCCCTGCGAGGAGCCTGCTTCTCCCTCTGCCTATGTCTCTGTCTCTCTGTGTGTGTGTGTGTGTCTCTCATGAATAAATAAATAAAATCTTAAAAAAAAAAGGCATTAAGGGGACACAGCACATGGGTAGATCAGTCGGTTAAGCACTAACTCCTAGTTTCAACTTCAGTCATGATCTTGGGGTTGTGGGATCGAACCCAACATTAGGCTCTGTGTTCAGCAGAGCTTCTTTCTCCTTTTCCCTCTGCCCCTTCCCCCGCTCATGCTCTCTTTTTCTCCCTCTCTAAAATAAAATAAATGAATAAAATCTTAAAAGAAAAAAAAAGGCATTAAGGGGCACCTGGGTGGCTTGGTGAAGAGTCCAACTCTTGATTTCAGCTCAGGTCATGATCTCAGGGTTGTGAGATCAAGCCCCATGTTGGGCTCCATGCTAGGCAAGGAGTCTGCTTAGGATTCTCTCTCCCTCTCCTTTTGCCCTTCCCTTCTCTAAAAAAAAGTAGGTCATTAAGATAAGTAATAAGTAATAACAGGCTAGACTGATTTATTTATGATAAAAGAGGGAGGTAGAAGGAAGAAGTCTGGAAAGAGATTATACAGTCTTAAACAAAATATGGAAGTTTACATATATGAGACATTTGGATATGAGAATAAGGAGCTTCTAAAAAAAAAAAAAAGAAGAGGAAGGAGCTTGTGAAAGTCTCATAAATTAGCCAAGCTTTAAAAAATTATTTTTCCGGGCAGCCCCAGTGGCACAGCAGTTTAGTGCCGCCTGCAGCCCGGGGTGTGATCCTGGAGACCGGGGATCAAGTCCCATGTCAGGCTCCCAGCATGGAGCCTGCTTCTCCCTCTGCCTGTGTCTCTGCCTCTCTCTCTCTCTCTGAATAAATAAATAAAATAATCTTAAAAAATGTTTTTAAATTATTTTTCCTGTTATGCAATGGGATGGGGTATAGTTGATGACAGAGTATTACAGAAAACATATTTTCTCACTTGAAATTTCACCTTATGCATAAATTCAGTCTCTAATACTTAAAACACTCACATACCTTGGAGAGCCTATCTTTTAATAGGGAATAGAAAAAGGATGGATTGATAAAAGAGGATAGGCTGAAGGGGATTTGTGCAGTGCATCTCTGAGAACAGCATCATAATAAGATGGAAAAAAACAGTAATCCCCAAAATAATGTTCATAATGTTTCTCATTATGCAAAAAAAAAAATTAAGTCCATAGGATGAAAGTATTAACTATTTTAAGCCTCTGTTGGGGCACCTGGGTGGCCCAGTGGTTGAGCTCCGGTTGTGATCCCCAGGGTCCTGGGATCAAGTCCCGCATCGGGCTACCCATGGGGAGCCTGCCTCTCCCTCTGCCTATGTCTCTACCTCTCTTTCTGTGTCTCTCATGAATAAATAAATAAATAATCTGAAAAAAATAGCCTTCGTTAATGAAATCCAGTGAGATCTCTAAATTTCATGTTCCTGTCAATTTAGCATTTCTAACTCTGTTAAAAGGTGTCTCCAATACCCTGTTGTATTTGCAACTAGTTTCATTGTTTTTGAAGTAGCTGTACTACATTAAGTAGACAGCATGCAGAGTGTGTTACTTTATAAGATCAAGATAGTATCATTCTTCCATTTAAGCTTCCCCTCCATAATGACCTTCCCCTAAACAGCTGACCTTTTTGTGAAGTTTCTTGTAA